AACAGACATTTATATATTTTTATGATCCTAGAACTTCAACCTCGATAACGTTTTGCAGCGCTTATATACAGGTACTATTTAAACGCCTGGTTTTGAATTGCCAGATTATAAACAAACATATCATAGCAATGACATTTTTCTTCTCATACTCTATGGTATAGTGTGTATAATCATATATCTTGTCCTTGATATATTGTTGTTGACGACTAAAGTTGTTATGTTATGTATGTATATTATAGAAACGATAATAAGTTCATATTTAAATTCCCCTACTTATTCAATAGCATTTGTTCAACATATTATACTAAAACAATTTTTAAATGGTTCCAAAATTTTGACGCCTGTTCTGGCGTAACTCCGGCGTAGCGCGTGCATGTGCCAGTCTTCAAAGCTTCTCAACATAAACAATACAGTTCATATTCATTTAGATGCCTTGCGAACCTAAATGTTGTTCGATAGCCAAATTCAGAAGCACATCGTACTTTAAAAACTATAGAAGTTCAATTGTTCAAAAATGTAAATAAACCGCATAATACATTCACTTTGTCTTACACTTTGCGTTTGGAATTCGCGCTTATATAGTTATATCAAATCTTCAATCCTGTGCAAACCGCGACGTGTCAACGCAGAAATAGCAGCAATATTATTAAAATAGGAACAGAATATATATGTATTAAATATATTCTCACCCCAATTAAATCTAAATATAAACGAACAGCATCAAAAGAACCGTTTATTTGTTCCTCTTGGAGGAATTGCCGTATCATATGCGAGCGAAATCGATTCGCGCATCGGAAAATTAGCCAAAGCTGTGCACCACGACTCTCAGTGGGAGACAAGACTGCATGTGACGTAGATAATTATGGTCTGATACACATTTCAAAGACTAGTATATTTCGCGCCAAAACACACTTGCGACGACCAAAAATAAAAAAAACCAAGGCGAATTTTCAACTCCGTCGCTCACGCCGGAGTAATAACTGCGTAGTTAATCTATTACATTATTATGTCTAGAAAATTGGGCGAGATTGAAACCTGTCAAAACAATATCGACATTTAAAAACAAAAACTATAAAATTTTTAATTATCAGTGTTTTTTTTTGATGAATCGCGCAATATGATTGGTTGCTTGCTGACATGCAGGTCCCGGTTTCGTTACTTTACTGATCTGTCAGGATCTGCAAACGTACAGATTAATTTCAATGCAATATTTAGTATAATATTCTCTTATTTAATGATAATCAACACTACAAAATTAATAAATCCCAGTTTAAGTGTTACGTATTCGCCCTCAGTGTTATCGACTCATCTCTCAGGGAGGTATATATTGTCCCTCATTATATCTTATGTGTGTGTCTAGATATCATGTTACATGATGACGTAACTATACATTTAAGAAGTAGTTAACCCTAATTTGGGTTTTAAGGTTTTATTCTTGATATTCAAGGCTGTTCGTCTACTCCCCGCGCTCGAAACACTTCACCTCCCAAATCCCGATCAGTAGTTAGTTAATAGTTAATCAATAGTTAAAGAGAGCAAAAATTATGCGTGCATGGGGTGAGAAATTGACAATTAAAAGACATGCATTGGCAACATTTTGACGAACCCTCAAATTACTTCTAAGATCATGTTACGATTATTTTAAAGCTTGCTCGTTATAGTGCAGTTTGGAGGGTGTATTGGAACATCTCCGCGGCAACGTTAGATCCGTAGTAGAGTCTCTTGTATCGATACAATCCTATACTTGCATGCATCCTAACCTGGCCGTCTTTTTTGGAATTGCCACAATTGGAAGAACCCATGGTGTTGCTTCGTTTTCCGGAACTTCCTCAATGATATCAAGCTCTAGCGCGTTTTTCACTTTTCTCTAATATTATATGGTGTACGCCGTTTGTGGTTGTGCTTTCGGAGTTTGGGTTTTATTAAAGTCTAGTTTAATTTTCCGGCTATAAAGCAATTTAGAGTGCTTATGAATGATGTTTTCAAGTGCTGTATCCTTTACTGGTGTGAGTTTGTCTATATGCAAGCTAACATGTCCGAGGTCTTGGGCCGTGGAAAACGAAAGTAAATTTCCACTATTTTCTCCTTTTGCTACGTAAAATGTTGCCACCAAAGAAATCCGCTTCCGTGTTTCTATATAACCGCTTCGAATTTGCCTAAAAATTAGACTGGTGATTCCGTATCGTATGTAGGCAAAAGCTTTCGTGCTTGTGCGATTTAATGTTATGGCTCAGCTTACCGTTACATTGACTTTGTTATTGCATGTCTTTCCGATCCAATATAAATAGCCATCGTCCGAAGACTTTCATTCTGGTCTAATGTTTTTAGATTCTTCGGCTTATACTATATTAATTCTGGCTGTATTTTGATCTATATATGTTTTATTTTGTTTTCCCCCACAAACATGGGCGATATATATATATATATTAATATATATATATATATATATATATATATATATATATATATATGTAATATCTATCTGCGTTTGTTCCAGTCTTGAAAATCTCTCGCACTATCTCCAGGTCCGGCTTGGTATAGTAACATAGTTGGATCTGTAATGTAACTTGCTGTTAAATACCTGAATCTTAAAGTCCATAATGCATCGCCCCTTGTTTTTTCCGCGAGGGAACTTATGTCTCTCTTGCGGGATCTCGTGCATGACCTTATAAGAATTTGCATATTTTGAGTTTGTTTCTTTAATGAAGACGGATGTCCGGACTCAGTCGCTATTGCAACAACTCTGCGATACCAGTTCGTTTTGTAAGAAAGAACCATTGTGTATTTCATTTAATAGTTGAACCAATGCGACTAAATATATAACTTTAAACTAAATATATGGAAGGCAATTAAATAGGAATTATCTTCAGAAAATAATATTCGCCCAGACGTAATTTACTTGGATCCTATACGGTTGGTATCACAGGAACGCAGGTAAAACATATATTTAGTAACTATAATGGAATAATAGACAGTATACATTTACATTGTATAATATTATATATAGTTACCCTTGTCGCAGGCCATATGAATTACGATACTATACTCTATAGCATAATGATTATATGAAACTAAAAATAACACGATATTTGACGGGACAGAGTACAACGCTTGTTACAATACAGACATTTATATTTTTATGACCGTGGAACTTCAACCTCGATAACGTTTTGCAGCGCTTATATGGACTTAATATTTAAACGCCTGTTTTTGAATTGCCAGATTATAAACAAATGTATAATAGCAATGGCATTTTTTCTTTTCATACTCTATGGTAGTGTGTATAATCATATATCTTGTCCTTGATATATTATTGTTGACGACTAAAATTGTTAGCTATGTTTTGTATGTATATTTTAGAAACGATAATAAGTTCATATTTAAATTACCCTGCTTGTTAATAGCATTCGTTAAACATATTATACTAAAACAAATTCTAAATGATTCCAAAATTTTGAACTCTGGAAAGTTTTAAACTGATAATAACTGCGTAGTTAGTCTATCACATTATTATGTCTAGAAAATTGGGCGAGACTTGAAGGCCTGTCAAAACAATATCGATACAATTTAAAAACAAAAACAATAAAATATTATCAGTGTTTGTTTTGATGAATCGCGCAATATGATTGGTTGCTGACATGCAGGTCCCGGTTTCGTTACTTTACTGATCTGTCAGGATCTGCAAACGTACAGATTAATTTCAATACAATATTTCGTTAAATATTCCCTTATTTAATGATAATCAACAATACAAAATTAATAAATCCCAGAATAAGTGTTACGTATTCGCTTTCAGTGTTACCGATGCTCTCTGTATATATATATTGTCCCTTGCTATATCTTATGTTTGTGTCTTTTTAATTATCATGATACATGATGACATAACTACTACATTTAAGAAGCAGAAAAATCTTATAGAAATAAGCCGAAAAGTTCACTGATAGAAAATAAGGCGAAAAGAATATAAACCTTAAAACCCAAAATCTGTGAGTGACAATTAATGTTGGGGAGAAACAATTCCAGAAACTGTGATTAAGACAGTAAAAATTATGCGTGGGGTGAGAAATTGACAAGACATGTATTGGCAACATTTTGAAGAACCCTCAAATTACTTCTAAAATCATGTTACGATTTTTTTATACAGTAGCTTGCTCGTTTCTTAATAGTTTGGATGAAAGAAAGATAAATTTAAACCGTACATTTGCGACGGGAATGTGCAACAAAACTGGGAGATGCAAAACGATAGCAAACGAAGTTGGCTTGTGGCTCTCGGGTCATTCTTTCTTGTTGGAATTGCGATTGGAATATCAAATTCTTTTGGTGTTTTGTTCACAAGCTGGACGGGAGAATTTCAAGAAAAGAGAACAAAATTGGTATGTAGCACAAAGTAAATGAATTAAGTACTAAATTAATAACGACATTTCTTTATGAATATATTGTATTATTTGAAGAGAAAAGAAAAACAGGTGTTCTTTCTTTATTAAAAAGCAGGCATTTTTTATATTGTCCCTGATCTTGTAAAAATTCAACAAGCACCATCTTTGAAAATATTCGGTCTGGTGTAACAAAAATGTTTAATAAAACTCAAAGCCATTGTTTTCAGCCGTATTAAAAATGTGGTGCTATTTTAAACATTGACAGGGGGGGGTGATCATGAAGAATAAAATCTAAAATTTGAAATTTTGTGATAAAAGTTCACAAAAATAAAAAATGAAATCTATTTTGTGAACTGAACCAAGAATCCTGAGATAGACCGCTTCAAAGCTTGTCCTTAATAGATCATTTGTGCTGAGTTCAATCCCTCCTTTTCCCTTTAATATTAACACCCCCCCGGCGATCATCACATCTGCGGCACGTTGTATGTGTATTATATATATATATATATTATATATATATATATATATATATATTATATATATATATATATATTTGAAGTAATTTACTATTTCTTAATCAGCGCTAACTATATAATTATTTTCGTTTATTCAGCCTGGATTGGTTCCTTTCATTTCATTTGGTACATGTGTTTATGTCCAGCATGTGGTATCTTAACTCGGTATTTCAGTTTTCGACCAGTTGTCGTCCTAGGAAGCACTCTCTTTTGTCTTGGTCTACTACTCAGTTCATTTGTGAAGGACATTCCGCTGTTCTACTTAACATATGGCATAATATTTGGCACTGGGACATGCATGTTATATATGTCAAGCATAATAGTTTTGCCATTTTGTTTCCAAAGAAATTTAGCCGCAGCAACTGGGGTGGTAACTTCGGCAAATGGCGGTTTCACAATGTGGTGTGGACCGGTGTACGAATATCTAATACGACATTACGGATGGCGTGTCACATTAAGAATATTTTCATTATTTTTCATTCCCTTACTGTTTGCGTGTGCCCTGTTCCCGAGCAAAAAACAAATACCTCGTGAAAAGAAAAATGACTTAAACATCAGGAAATCGTTTGGTAGAATGTTGAGAAATAAAGGATTTCTACTTTGGGTGTTTCTGATGACATTGGTGTATCTTGGACTCTTTGTTCCTCAGATGCATTTGGTAAGAATGTGCTTATGCGCTAATAATATAACAAAACGATGCACTTAATATAGCAGCTGCTAAAAATCTAAGAAAAATAGATGAAAGCCAAGAAGATGCGGAATATTACCGGCATCGTTATCGTCTGACGACTTCAATAATTTCAAAAAATTAAATCCGAGACAGAAGCTAACGTAGGTTCTTCGTTTTTCAGAAAGATTTTTTTTAAAAAGATTTATGCTACTTTCTACAAGGAAACTCGCCATTTCACAACTCACTTCACGTTTCTATGATTAATAATTTTTTATTTATCACTAATTATTATATTCTTTTTCTCAAATCTTTCTCATTCTTTTAGATGTCGTTTTGTAAAGATGTTGGCATACCAACTTACATAAGCGTATACACATTACCTTAATGTGTGGCATGGAGACTGCTGGAAAGGTTATCTCAGGAAAATTGGTTGATAAACTTAACTGGAGTGTTCATACCTATAATATTCTAGCTATATTAATTCTGGCCGTATCAATAACTTTGCTACCTTTGGCGAAGACGTCAACTCATATGTTCACTTTTTCTATTTTCTTTGGATTTGCTCTGGGAGTCCAGTCATTGTGTGTCATCATCATAACTCCTGAAGTGTCCCACCCGGATGACGCGAAGCACGCAGTGACTTATTTATTTGGGGCTCTCAGTATACCGGGGGGCATCGGGCCAGTTTTAGCAGGCAAGTAGTAATATGTTATATTTTGTGAAAATCAGCTTTGTTTGTCGTAAAAAAGCAGGTGGATGGGAACTGATAAAATGACTTCATCGTTCAGGTGGCAGTGCTTCATTTAATCGAAGATAAAAAAACTAAATGCACATACCGCAAAAATAATTTATATAATGTGAAAACTCCTAAATAAATTAAGACAGAGCCAAAAGGCACTGCATGACAAACGTCAAAGCGTCCTTTAGAATTTGGGACGTATTCCGATCACAGTGCACAAATCTACTAGGAAATTTTCCTTGTAGCTTAATTACGCAGAGCTAAGAATCCATTTTGCCCATTTTGTACATGCAGTTTTTCCACACATGAACAAACATTTTTTAACGAGGACTTCAGCCGTTTTTCAGAAGCTAAAATATTTTTCAATCAATTTTAGCATGGATATTCGACGTCACCCGCTCATATCGTTTAGCATTTTTCATTTCTGGGGGATTCTTCGCTTGTGCTGGTTGTCTTGCGAACCTGATTCAACTGATAACCTCTAAGACTACAAACGGCAGTTTGGTATTTGATTCGAGTGTAAAAGAGGGCGATAGCGAAGGCGTGGAAATAGATGAGAACCGGTGTTGATTTTTGCACAAATCATGCAGGTCAAGTCGAAGTTACCAGATCACAAACAAACGTAATCTTGACTTTTGTTGTTAACCCGTTTCAATAATTTTGGATACAAAAAGGCTAGTCAAAAGGTTCACCCAAGGTCATTGGCGTGGGCTGTTTAGTGCTGCGCACGCGCTAAATTTGAACGAGTAAAGATTGGTAAAAAGTGACCTGATTGCCAAAAATTAATTTAATGCGAACTCAACAATGTAATTACCATTTCCCCAATTTCTTTCGACTGCAGTGTTTTATCATTTTTCTTTTTAGAAAATGAGGAAAATGATAAAAAGCTGAATCAAAATTTAAACTTCGCTATATCAAATTAATAGAAGGCTTGAATTTCAATGGTATGTCATTTCGCATGCAGACATGAGATGCAGTGACTATGTCAATAAACCCAGTGGGGATCTAGGAGTGTGCAAAATAAATCACTTTCACTTGAAACAGTTTTAGATACGTTCCAACATAACCAGGGAGCAGCGTTTTCAATTTTTTTTATGACATGAGCGTATTGGGCATGGCTATAGATGAGGAAATGGGGAGGCGACTTGGTATTAATGTATTACTATAATTATACTGCAGTACCTGTGTCATTTTTCGGTGTCTTCAAATTCACATTGAGAAAGTATGCCCCGGACCCCGAGTAACCAGCATGATGGTCCTTATCATTTACGCACTTACGTGATTATCAGCACGGCACTGCTATAATGCATAAAATGCGTTTTTTCACTGTAGAATATACTCGTAACTCCGAGTATTTCGAAAAGTCAAAATAACGAAATTTTAGAGCCATTTGAAAGCCCCAAAGTTCATATGTCCATGGTAAAAAGGAAACTGAGATGCGGTGATAAATACCTCCACTGAGGTGTATTTCCCACCCAAATTCTGGTGGGTTGCCTGGCACACAGTTCCTGCGTTAAACACTGACTAAGTTGCGTGATCGCTGTGCTTCTCACGTAATCCCTAAGCGCTCTGGGTGAGTCGGCAGAATCACAATCAAACTTTGACTTAAAGTCTCGTTCAATTTTCATATATTATCTGTATATAAGCGTACAGCGTGGCTATATCTATTTGTCTAATGTTGGATGTTTTTAGTACACACATGGCGTAGAAAACCAGAAACCTGTGTAAGTGGTGCACCCGGAGTTATGTCCAGCATGTGGTATCTTAACTCGATATTTCAGTTTTCGACCAGTTGTCGTCCTAGGAAGCACGCTCTTATGTCTTGGTCTACTACTCAGTTCATTTCTGAAGGACATTCCACTGTTCTACCTGACATATGGCGTAATATTTGGCACTGGGACATGCCTGTTATATATGTCAAGCATAATATAGTTTTGCCATTTTGTTTAGCCGCAGCAACTGAGGTGGTAACTTCAGCAAATGGTGGTTTTCCAATGTGGTGTGGATTGGCGTACGAATATTTAATACGAAATTACGGATGGCGTGTCATATTAAAAATGTTGTCATTATTTTTTCATTCCCTTACTGTTTTCGTGTGCCCTGTTCCCTAGCAAAAAGCAATTACCTCGTGAAAAGCAAAATGACTTAAAGGTCAGGAAATCGTTTGGTAGAATTTCTACTTTGGTTGTTTCTGATGACATTGGTGTTTCTTGGACTCTTTGCTTCTCAGATGCATTTGGTAAGGAAATGATGCGAGGGATGTGTGCAAAGTCTATTACATCATAAAACTGACTACCTCCTACCTACTAGGGCGGTGATCCCTAGCGCCTGCGGAGGAGGTAGTAAAACTGAAATCTCGTTTAAAGAAGAAGAAAAAACTTGAGTTCTTTGCTTAAAGTTATTGAAACCACCATGTTTAATTACTATCTATTTTCACTTTCAAATGTTCTTCTAGATATCGTTCTGTAAAGATATTGGCATAACTTACATGAGCGAATACAACATTACCCAACATTACAGCTGGAAAGTTACTTTTGGGATAGATGATCGATAAACGCAAATGGAGTGTTCATACTATATTTTGGCACTATTAACCCTGGCCGTATCCGTAACATTGCTACCTTTAGCAAAAACTTCAACTAATATATTTTTCTTTTCAATTTTCTTTGGTCTTGCCTATGGAGTTCAGTTATTGTGCGTCATTATTATAACTCTTGAAGTGCCCCACACGGATGACGTGAAGCACGCAGTGACTTACTTATTTTGGCTCCTCAGTATACCGGGGGGTGTCGGACCAGTTTTAGCAGGTGAGCAGTAGTTTACAAAGGTTTATATAATTCGTTTTAAAACAGTCATCAACTATAAAACCTCAACTACAACAAAAACTACAGGTTCACAACCAAGGTTTTTAGAGAGATAAATCTGAGGAATGGATTGCAATGTATTTAGTGGGTTTGCAACATTACACCTAACCTTAAAACTATAATACACGCAGCGGGGGCGTTTAGGGAACCTGCATTGTCGAGGCTGGCTGAATTTTGGAACATTTTTACATGCGAATAAGAAACATTTCAGGAGTTTGGAGTGATTTTAGTTCGTCCTTTTTCGACCTTTCATACTGTAATTGTTATTTCGAAGGGCTAATTAAAAATCTCTCAAATTTATATAAATTGAAATTTAACGACGCCTTTTGTAAATGGCGAGTTGCTAAAATCTAAAATAGTCCTTCATCAATTACAGCATGGATATTCGACGTCACCCGCTTTTATCGTTTACCATTTTTTTATTTCAGGGGGATTCACCGCTTGTGCTTGTTGCAGGGGCGCCGTGGCCGGGGGGCCAGGGGGGGCCATGCCCCCCCCCCAGGATTAAAACCTGTCGGAAATTTACGAACATTGCATGTTGTCGGAGTATATCAATCATAACAGAGACTAAGCTATTTTTGCATTTGTGGCTGTGTTATGCTGAACAACCCAAAAGTATTTGAACTATCAGAAAATAGACGCGGTTATTTCTAATATTATACAGTACGACACTACCCCAATTTTTTATTATACTGTTGTCGCGCAGGCTAAACTAGCTGTTTCTTCCGAACGTTTCCGGTTTCCGATAAACATATTTTCTATTAATATAACATTACGCAAGGGATGTAATTTTCGAAATGTCGGAGATTGGTGCGATAAAATCATGAATGGCGATGTATCTTCGACCGCATTTGTTGTTCAGTGAGTTTATACAGTTTATTGCATTATATGGTGACCATCTAAAGAAACACCAGCATGTTCCGTATCAGAATGCTGGAGCTACAGCAAATCCTTTTCAAGTTAGTACTTTTAGTCAAACGCTTCCTGACATACAAAGATAAGGTACCACGATAGTACAGCAGAAGAACTAAACTGATGAGAGGATTGAAGCAATTGCGAATATGTTTATATTTTGGTTATAAACAAATGTTGCGTATAGAATACGCTGTATGCTCATTCAGAGAGATTACAAAGCTATAATAGAGTATCGTGAAATAACGTATCGCGTTATTTGTTAATGCACGTGGATTAGAAATCTCTGTAATACAGTTTTCCCACAAACAGTTAACTGTATCAAAAATTATTCTTCTACTCAATTGAAAAGCGTATGTAAAACGTGAATATTTATCTGTCATTTTATTGTGCATGAAGCGTCAATTTAAATTAGTAGACGTAGCTCGTGATCTTTGTCATAGCAAATGCATGCGCGTCCTTGCCCAAAACCCCCTGTCAGTTTTATCAATATTCGTTACTTTTTTCTTATAAAGATGTCGGGAAAAAAACGTGCTGGTCGGAATAATGTTGCCTTTGGCCACCCCTACATTAGCACACCCACGGCGCCCCTGGCTTGTTGTCTTGCAAAACTAATTCAACTGATAACCTCAAAGACTACAAACCGTAGTTTGGTATTTGATTCAACAGCAAAAGCGCATAATATTGATGCCATGGAGATTAAAGAAAACGGGTGTTGATTATCTGCCGAGGCAACTTTGCTTGCTGAAACCTATAGCAAGTTGCTGAAGATTGAGAATGTCCATGTTCTGGGGGGGGGGGGTTGTTCAGCACAACATGGTTTCATTAACTGGCAACAACTTAAGTGGGATTTTTGCCTAAAGGCTACGT